CCCCTTTCCCACTGATTAAGCATGGTATACAAGGCCTTTCATGATCTGGCTATATTTACTGGAAATGGTCAGTATAAACCTGAAGTAAATTATGATAACGATACATGTCATAAATCTTAGAGGAACCATGACAACTCAAAAAATAGCTTAGAAATGAACAAAGGAATTAAAATGGTATGCCAAGGAATATTTGTTTAATGCAAATAAGCCAATAAAGTTGGAACATAGGAACAAAAATGACATGAGACCTGAAGAAAACAAATAGAAAAATGGCAGGCATGAATCTAACCACAAAACTAATTATATTAAATGTAAATGGATTAAGCAGTCCAATTAAAAGGCAGAGATATAAGTAAATACGCTCCAACTACATGCTGTCTGTAAGAGACACACTTTCATAGTCAAAGATAAATACAAACAGGTTGAAAGTAAAATGATGCAAAAAGTAACCATAAGAGAGATGGAGTGGCTAAAATATCAGACAAAATAGGTTTTAAGACCAAACAAATTGTTCCCATAGGAGAAAAGGGACATTATAATGATAACACAAACAGTCCATTAGGAAGATAAACAATTAAAAACATATATACATTGGGGCCCTGGGTGGCTCAGTCGGTTAAGTATCTGATTCTTGATTTTGGCTCAGGTCATGATCTCTTGGTTGTGAGGTCAGACTCTGCTCTAAACATGAAACCTGCTTAAGCTTCCCTCTCCTTCTCTCCCTCTGCCCCTTCCCTGCTTGTCTGCATGCATGCATGCAGTCTCTCTCTCTCAAAAACAAAAACAAAAACCATGTATATATATATACATCTAATGGACCTTTTTTTTTTTAATTTTTTTTTTAATGTTTATTTATATTTTTGGGACAGAGAGAGACAGAGCATGAACGGGGGAGGGGCAGAGAGAGAGGGAGACACAGAATCAGAAACAGGCTCCAGTCTCTGAGCCATCAGCCCAGAGCCCGACGCGGGGCTCGAACTCACGGACCGCGAGATCGTGACCTGGCTGAAGTCGGACGCTTAACCGACTGCGCCACCCAGGCGCCCCTAATGGACCTTTTAATATATGAAGCAAAAACAGAAAATTGAAAGGAGAAATAGAATTCAACAATAATAACTGGAAACTTTAATATCCTACTCTCAAAAACTAAAATAATAACTAGACAGAAAATCAGCAAAATTATAGTCTTTAACACTGTTAACCCACAGTCGCTGCTGTCAGGATGGAGCCCACTTTGGATCCTCTGTCCCTCTCACTCTCTCACCCTCCCTTAGTTGCACTCTCTCTCTCTCTCTCAAAAATACAAATAAACATTAAAAAAAAAAAAAGGCAAGGATATCTGTTCTCACCACTTCTATTCAAGATGTAACCAAAGATTCTAGCCACCACAATCAGGCAACAAAAAAATAAATATCAGTCAGATTGGAAGTGAAGAAATAAACTGTCTTTATTTGTAAATGATGTAACAACCTTCTATATAGAAAACTTTAACAAATACAAAAAAAAATATTAGAACTAATAATGGATCTATTTGAGGTTATAGGATATAAGATCAGATACCAAAATCAAGCGTATTTCTACCTATTAACAATGAACAATCTGAAAATGAATGATGCCTTTTACTATGATTTCAAAAAGAATAAAAATACTTAGGAAAAACTAAGAAAAGAAATGCAAGTGTTATACACTGAAAACTACAAACTGGCAGAGAGAAATTAAATAAGATCTAAATAAATGGAGAAGTATTCCATATCGACTCTTGCAAGTCATTAAAAAGAGACCAAACAACTCAATTAAAAAATGAATGGTGGGGCGTCTGGGTGGCTCAGTCGGTTAAGCATTTGACTTGATTTCGGCTCAGGTCATGATTTCCCCGTTCATGAATTCAAGCCCCACATCGGGCTCTCTGCTCTCTGTGCAGATCCCATTTCTGATCCTCTGTCTCCCTCTCTCTCTGCCCCTCCCCTGTTCCCACGTGCTATCTCTTTCTCTCTCAAAAATAAATAAACATTTTTAAAAAATGAATAGGGGGCACATGGGTAGCTCAGTAGGTTAAGTGTCTGACCTGATTTCGGCTCAGGTCATGATCTCACAGTTCGTGGGTTCAAGCGTCTGGTCATGCTCTGCACTTAACAGCATAGAGCCTACTTGGGATTCTTTCTCCTTTCCTCTCTGCCCTGCCTCCACTTGCACTTGTTCCCTCTCTAAATAAATAAATAAATAAATAAATAAATAAATAAATAAGGGGTGATGGGTGGTCCAATCGGTTGAGCATCCAACTTTGGCTCAGGTCATGATCTCATGGCTCCTGAGTTCGAGCCCCACATCAGGCTCTGTGCTGTCAGTGCAGAGCCTGCTTCAGATCTTCTGCCCCCTGTCTCTCTGCCCCTCCCCCACTCGCACTCTCTGAAAAATAAACATAAGTAAATAAACATTTTTAAAAAACATATAGAAGAACAGATATTTCATTAAAGGAGATCTATAAATGGCTAATAACTCATGAAAAGGTGTTTAACATCATGAATCATTAGGGAAGTGCAAATGGAAACCACAATAAAATATTACTACATGTTAACTAGAAGGTCTATGAAAAAGACAGCCCATACCAAGTGTTAGTGAGGATGTGGAAAAAGGGGAATCTATACGTTGCTGGTGGAATGTAAAATGGTGCAGCCACTTCAGAAGACAATTTGTCCATTACTTAAAAAGTTAAACAGATTTACCATATGATTCAACAATCCCACTACTAGATATCACCCAGGAGAACAGAAGGCATCTGTCCACACAAAGACTGGCATGTGAATGTTCAGAGCAGTATTATTCAGAATAGCCAAAAAGTGGAAACAACCCAAACATTGATCGGGTGGTGAATGGGTAAATACAATTCCATACAATGGAATACTATTCAGCATTTAAAAGGAACTAGCTATTAATATATACTACAGCATGGACCAACCTCAAAACCTCATGCTATGGTGGAAGAAACCAAACGCAGAGACTATACATTGTAGGATTCCATTTATATGAAATGTTTAGAAAAGGCAAGTTTACAAAGACAAAAAGTAGATCCATGGTTGGTTAGGGCTGAGAATGGCAGTGGGGATTAAGTATAAATGGACCCAAGGGAAGTTTTTAGGATGATAGAAATGTCTAAAACTGAATTGTGGTGATTGTTGCACAGTTCGGTATAGTTACTAAAAATCATTGAGTTGTACTGTTAAAATGGGTGAATTTTATGTTCTGTAAATTATACATCAATGAAGTGTTTAAAAATAAAGAAATGCTGGGGCGCCTGGGTGGTTCATTCGGCTAAGCGTCCAACTTCAGCTCAGGTCACGATCTCGCAGTTCGTGGGTGCGAGCCCCACGTCAGGCTCTGTGCTGACAGCTCAGAGCCTGGAGCCTGTTTCAGATTCTGTGTCTCCCTCTCTCTCTGACCCACCCCGTTCATGCTCTATCTCTCTCTGTCTCAAAAATAAATAAACGTTAAAAAAATTTTTTTTAAATAAATGCAGTAGTTTGTCACTTTTTAACATATTAATAGAAACAATTCCAACAATAAGGACGATACTGAGATTTTGTTCCATGCCAGTCACTGTTGTAAGCACTGTACTCAATGCTCACAGCAACCTATTATTTCATAGATAGAAATAGATATTATAATGCCATTTGCAAATGAGGACACTGATGCCCAGAGAAGTTAAGTAACTTGCTCAAGGTTGTGCAGCAAATAAATAGGTGAGCCAGGGTTCAAATCTAAGCAACTGGTTCTAGTAACCATGCTGTCACCTTTCTGCTAATATAAATCAAATTTTATGGTATTTTTAAGGGTCTAATGAGGCAGCATCATTGCAAACTTCTCCTCCTGAAGTTGAAAAATATACAATATACCAAGTTTGATGGTACAAAGCAAGGGAGGAAGTGTGTTATTTTTCCATTTTAGGAAAATAGTGAAAGTGCTAGCTTCCATTTTCTTTTTCTTCCTGTTTTATGGCGGGATGCAATGTATATCCTGAAAAGATAATGGGCTTTAGAATTGAAATAACTGAGATTTGCTCTCTGACTCTGCTACTTAAGTCATGTAACTTTATAGAGCCTCATTTTTCTTGTCTATAAAATAGACTTAATAATGCCTACATACCCGCATTGTGTGTGTATTTAACATGATGTGATTAAATGTATATAAAATCTTAGCATGATGCCTTGCTTCGGTAGACACTGAACAAGCGGGAGCTCTCTTTAGTCATTAGACTCAAGTGTCCTTTTATACATTAGAGTCGATCATGTCTTCTTAGCTGGACTATACCTGAAAGAGAACGAAGAACAATTCAGAACTCATAGATGGCTTTTTTTAGTTGGTTACTTAATTATATTTGATTTTGCTTAGCATATTAAAATAAAGCATGAAAGCCCTCCTCTTCCACATGCAGACAGCTTACTTAGAAATTTTACTTTAATATCTGCTCCCATGCTGGACTCTAACCAGACTCCAGCCCTGGCATCTAAGAGATATTATTTCACTATTATCTCCTAAGTACCTTTAAGAGTACTTAAAGATCAGAGCCTCCCTGAAAGTGTGGTTATTGTCAGAACACCTCATCAGAGTCCTGATGGAAGGGAGAAAGGTGGCTAGGGACAAATCTTGTTTCCATGCCAGTATGAATTCTGTGGGGCCCAAGGCCCTGGTCACACAAATCACTGAGGGCTATTTTAGTATAAGTGTGAGAAACTTCCTCTATCAGTGGCCGCTGACCTGTATTTATACATATTAAGAGAACATGTATTAAGGGACAAATTTTTAAAAGCATATTTTTTCTTAATGACAGATATAATAAATGTTTATTTATCTACTTGGTAAATTACTGAAGCATTTTGTCCACTGGATGTCGCCACTGCATTTGAAAAATAAACTCCGTCCTGTGCTTTTATAAACTGAAATGTAATATGAAAGTTAAATGTTTTAGTTTTGAAACGACATGTTCCTATCTTTTTCCCTGACAGAAGAGGAAGACACCACCAGATGACCCAGACTGATCTTATCTCGAGATAATTTCCTTCGAAGAGAAATCAGGAAGGAATTTGTTATGCAGAATTTAGGATTTGGCCAGATCTGGAAGCATCTAAAGCCTGCTGAGGAATGACAGTTTTCAAATGCCCGGTATATAAAATAACTTTAAAATTTTCTGTTAACTTGTTCGTTTTGGGGGAAGAGTTTCTTTTGATTTGTCCTTTGACTCTTCACAACCTGTGACCTGTTTCCAACCCAGGACCCGGTTCTTCTGAGGATGGAAGGGAGTTGGAACTCCGCTCAAATATTCTTTCCCTTTCTCACATCCCAACCCCTTCTGTGATCCAAGCCCTCAAAACATAAAGGATGGTCATCTTTCAATTTTAAAATTATAACACTAAACGTTTCTTTATTCAAGGAATTGAAAGATAAGTCAGAATTTTTCTTTGTTTTCCTGTGTTTATTAATGAAATGGATCCTACCAGCATATTGTTTTTGAGCCCTTGAATATTTCCCTATCCCTGAAGTCAAATTGAAATAGAACAGATGGAAACACAGTAGGATATGTCACACATGCTACACAGGGAAGAATCAAAAGGCTATCAATGCTTTCCAAAACAAGCAAGAAAAAGAGAGAGGAGGGATGGGGGGTGCTGAGTGGGGAGGGGGACAGAATTGTGATCATCCTTGGTATGTGCTAAGTACCACGTGGCTCATTAAACTGTTTTGAGAAGAAAGTTAAGCCCTGAAAAAGGAACCACTCTCTCTATAAATGATATTTTAATAATCTTTTAGTTTAAGAACTCCTTTACTTCCTATTCTAAGATTTCAGTGTAAATGAAGACAGATGGGAAGACAACTTTTTTCTTCCCATTTCACTACCCAGTGGTGAAATTGTTGGGTCATAAGGTAGCTCTCTTTTTAACTTTTTGAGGAGCCTCCATACTATTTCCCAGAGTGGCTCCACCAGTTTGTGTTCCCACCAACAGTGCAGGAGAGTCCCCTTTCTCCACATCCTCACCAACACCTGTTGCTTCTTGTGTTGTTAATTTTAGCCATTCTGACAGGTATGGGGAAAGCAATTTTAGGACTTCAATCAAGATTATTTTCCAGTTGCAGAAGATTGAGGAGTTAGAGTTTAGAAAGACATTCTCTGTGACTGGTTTTTCATTTGCAAATTTCTTCCTACCCTGAGAACGATTCAAAATAATGAATTAAGATAACATTTTTTGAAATAGGTTTTTGTTTTAAAAAGTTCTATAGTTTTTACATCATTTTAATAAAATTACATAATTTAAAGTAATATTCTTATATGAATAACCAACTGAGCCACCCAGGCACCCCACTTTATTCTTTTTGATGCAGTTGTAAATTGGGTTGTTTTCTTAATTCCTCTGATAAATCTCTTTGGCTTTTTTTTTTTTTTTTTGAGAGAGAGAGCACAAGTTGGGGAGGGGCAGAGAGAGGGAGAAACACAATCCCAAGCAAATTTCATGCCATCAGTGCTGACCCCAATGGGGGGCTCAAACTCAAAAACAGAGAGATCATGACCTGAGCCTGAGCTTAACCAACTGTGCCACCCAGGTGCCCTTCCCCCTCCTGCCCTCTTTGGCTTTTTAATCTGGCTTCTACAATTAAAACTTGGCACATAACCAAAATACAATTAAATGAAAAGTCAACAATAAAATATAGCATGCCCCCAATCACCCTGTATAAATATGGGCATCTTAAAATGCACTTGTTTGGAAGCATTTCCAGAATGGTGGAATAAGAATGTATGAAAATCTGCTCATCCACAACAGCAAGAGAACCCTGGAAATTAACCAAAGGTTTACAATGTTCTAGAATCATTTATTAAAACAAAACAAAACAAAACAACAACAAAAACACCCAGCTGAATATCAGTAAGAGCAGCAAGTTTTGTGGCTTTTAACTTGCCTTCTTCCCATCTCCTTTTCTCCATTTGCTGCATAGACTTAAAAATCAGCAGACTTGGGGAGCCTGAGTGGCTTAGTTGGTTGAGCATCTGACTCTTTTTTTTTTTTAATTTTTTTTTAACGTTTATTTATTTTTGAGACAGAGAAAGACAGAGCATGAAGGGGGGAGGGTCAGAGAGAGGGAGACACAGAATCTGAAACAGGCTCCAGGCTCTGAGCTGTCAGCACAGAGCCCAACACGGGGTTGGAACTCACGGACCGCGAGATCATGACTTGAGCTGAAGTCAGCCACTCAACCGACTGAGCCACCCAGGCGCCCCGAGCATCTGACTCTTGATTTAGGGTCAGGTCATGATCCAAGATGTGGGATCGAGCCCCACATCGGGCTCTTTGCTGACAGCATGAAGCCTGCTTAATGTTCTCTCTCTCTCTCTCTCTCTCTCTCTCTCGGTCTCTCTATTTCTCTCTCCGCCCCTCTCCCCTGCTCACACTTACTCTGTTTCTAAAATTAAAAAAACAACAACAAAAAAACCCAGCAGGCACACAATTATGATAGTTGTAAAAACCAGAAGCCTAGGAGTCACTGGTGGGAAAGGGCAGAATGGATCTGACACTGCCCACTTGTTCCATCCCTAGAGAATTGTCACTGTTTGACCTATTTTAAGCTCCTTGTAAAGCTCCATTCCCAAGGGTAAACTTTATTTGACCTGACTCAGAGCTCACTTTGTTTGAAGAGCCTTATCTTTAGGACATTTGTCAAAAAGAAGTAGTGGCAATTGTTTAACATTGCAGATGCATGAGGCAGTGATACCAATTGGAGCTAATAAGAACCTAACCAAAAAAAAAAAAAAAAAAGGAAAAAATCTGGAATGAGATGTCCATGTGGTTCTTTGCAAAGCTCTGAAATATTCCTGGGAACCCAGAAAGACATGTGCATGTGCAGTGCTCTTCTTATGCTCAGCAAAGACCTAAGAAGACCCTAATTCCTCACCTCAGACTGACCTTGGGGCTCTGCTCAAGCAGGAAGTAAAGGCTAAAGCACAATTGTAAACTGCTTACTGGAGTATTAAATACATGCTCCAGGGGCACCTGGGTGGTTCAGTGGGTTAAGGGACTGACTTCAGCTCAGGTCATGACCTCGTGGTCCATGAGTTCGAGCTCCATATCAGGCTCTGTGCTGACAGCTCAGGGCCTGGAGCCTGCTTCAGATTCTGTGTGTGTGTCTCTCTCTCTCTGCCCTCCCCCACTCATGATCTGTCTCCTCTCTCTCAAAACTGAGTAAACATTAAAAAAAAAATTTTTTTAAACATGCTCCAACACATACACAGAGCAGTGCTTAGACTGAAATTTATCACTGTAAACACCTGTATTAAAAAAGAGAAAAAATGTTAAATCAATAAACTGACTTTCCACTATAGGAAACTGAAACAGGAGAGCAAATGAAACTTAAAACAAACAGAAGAAAGGGGAAAAAAAATTAGAGTAGAAAAAAATAAAAAAGAGAATTAAAAAATTAATAAAACCAATTAAACCAAAGCTGGCTTCTTAAAAAGAAAATGAACAAAATTGACAAAATTTTAGGTAGCTTGACCAAGCGAAAAAGAAGTCTCAAATTACTAAGATCAGGAATGAAAGAGGGGACATCAGTACTGACCATACAGATAAAAGGATTATAAGAGAAGCTCTGAGGAATAGTGTATAAACAAACTAGATAACTTACATGAAATACACAAATTTCTAGAAGGACAAAACTAATAAAAGTGGAAAAAGAAAATGTAAACAGGTTTATTTATACCTGGAGACCTAGCTGGCTCAACTCTTGATCTCGAGGCTGTGGGTTTGAGCCCATGTTGGGAGTAGAGGTTACTTAAAAATACCATCAGAGAGATCCTATTAGTAATAAAAAAAAAACTTCCCATAGGGGCCTCTGGGTGGCCCAGTCGGTTAAGTATTTGACTCTTGGTTTTGGCTCAGTTCATCATATCACAGCTCGTTGGGCTCTGTGCTAATGGCAGCCTTTTTGGGATTCTCTCTCTCTCTCTGCCCCTCTCTCCCTCTCCCCCACTTGCACTCTCTCTCTCTCAAAAACAAACAAACATAAAAAAAGAAAAAAAACTTCCCACAAATAAAAGTCCAGGCCTGGATGTCTTCAATGCTGAATTCTACCAAACCATTAAAGAAAAATTAATATCTATCTTTCACAAAGTCTTCCAAAAAATATAAGAGGAGGGAACACTTCCTAACTCATATTATGAAGCTAATATTGCTCTAACATCAAGATCAGACAAAGACACCACAAGGAAAGAAAACTATAGGCCAACATTTTTTATTAATATAGATGCAAAAATTCTCAAGAAAATACTCACCAGTCAAGCTCAGCAATATGGTAAAAGACTATATGCTATAACCAAATGAGATTTTTCCCAGGAAGGCATGTTTTGTCTAGCATACAAAAATCACCAATGTAATGAAACATTAACACAATAAAGGATAAAAAGGGGCGCCCAGGTGGCTCAGTCGGTTAAGTGTCCGACTTCAGCTCAGGTCTTGATCTCACACTCCGTGAGTTCTAGCCCCACGTCAGGCTCTGTGCTGACGGCTCAGAGCCTGGAGTGTGTTTCAGATTCCGTGCCTCCCTCTCTCTCTGACCCTCCTCTGTTCATGCTTTGTCTCTCTCTGTCTCAAAAATAAATAAAAACATTAAACTTAAAAAAAAGATAAAAATGTGATCATCTCAATAGATACAAAAGATAATTTGATAAAATCCAGCATACCATATGACTTCACTCATATGTAGAATTTAAGATACAAAACAGATGAACATAAGGGAAGGGAAGGAAAAATAATATAAAAACAAGGAGGAGGATAAAACATAAGAGACTCCTAAATACAGAGAACAAACTGAGGGTCACTGGATGGGTTGTGTGTGAGGGGAGATGGGCTAAATGGATAAGGGGCATTAAGGAAGACACTTGTTGGGATGAGCACTGGGTGTTATACATAGATGATGAATCACTGGAATCTACTCCTTAAATCATTATTGCACTATATGCTAACTAACTTGGATGTAAATTAAAAAAATAATAAATAAATAAATAAATTTTTAAATTTCATTTTTAAGTATTCTCTACACCCAACATGGGGCTCAAAGTTATAACCCTGAGATCAAGGGTTCCATGCTGTACTGACTGAGGCAGCCAACCAACCCCCAAAATCCACCATTCCTGATAAAAGCTCTCAGAAGATTAAGGAAAGAAGGAAACTTTCTCAACCTGATATATGACATTGATGAAGAAAACTATAGCTAACAATGCACTTACTGGTAAAAAACTAAATACTTTCCCTCTAATTTCAGGCACAAAACATGGATATCTATTCTCATTACATCTATCCAACATTGCCCTCAAGTTTCTATCCAGTGCAATAAGACCATCAATAAATAAATAAATAAATAAATAAATAAATAAATAAAGTCATCAAGATT